CAGGGGCGGACACAGACTGCGCTCCCAGCCGCGGTCTGGGGACCCCACGGGGCAGCTTTTCCAGGAGGCGTATTGGGACAGAACACCCCGGCCTTCGCCAACTGTACTGTCACTTCCCTCCGCTCCAGGTTCCTTCTAAACGGGCAGGGCGAGACTCAGCGGCTCCAATTTACAGGTGGGGAAACTGAGGTCGGGAGCGGAGACCTGAGCTGCTCAGGTGCAAGCTTCGACAGCGCTGCCTTTTCCCAGTCTTCCCACGACCTACCTTCTACAGAAAGTGTTCATTACCCGCCCCGTGCCCCGCCCCCCACCAGCGCACTCCTCTAGTTTCTTATTTGGGAAGTCCAGGAGGAGACCCCAGCGCACCCCGGGTCAGTGTGGGCCCAGCCCTCTTTTGGCGGCGACAAACGTCCAAAGCGCCCCGTTATCAGCCAATCTTTCGCATCTCCTCGTCCAGGGGCCCGTGGGTGCCCGCCCGGGTCGGGGCGCGCTGCCAAACTGCGCGGCCCGGAAGGGGGTAACCGCTGGGTCTTTGATCTTCCTTGGTTTCCGCTCCCCGCTGCAGTTCGCCAGACCCATGGGTTTGTTTGTTTTGTCTGGGGAGGTCTCTGCGGGGAGGTCGCGCGGCGGGGGTGGGGGGGCGGTGGACATCAAGGGGTTCTACCCCACCTTTGTGGCTCTCAGAACGCCTGCCCCCTTCTGGGGACACTGTGGGTCCGTGTTACGCTCGTCCTGGTACCAGGTAGCCCGGGCGTGGGAAGAGAAAAGCCGGAGCTCAGAGTGAAACCAGCCCCGACCTTTGACGTGAATTCCCTGTGCTCAGTTTTGTGATCTGTAAAATGGAGGCTCCATTCTGCCCTTTCTGCCGACTCTCCAGAGCAGCACTGCCCAATAGAAATATAATGTGGGCCACATTTGTAATTTTAAATTTTCTCGTCGCCGCGTCTTTTAGAAGTGAAAAGAAATAGATGAAATATTAATAATATATTTCGCTTAACTCAATACAGTCAGCCCTCCCTATAGGTTCCACATCTGCGGCGTCAACCAGCTGTGGACTGAAAATATACAAACAGAATAATACAGCAAAAATAAAGAATAAAAAACTTTTTAATACAGTATAACAACTATTTACATAACATTTACATTGTATTAGGACTTACAAGGAATCTAGAGATGATTTATAGTATACAGAAGGGTATGTGTAGGTTATATGCAAATACTACAAGACATTTTATACAAGGGACTTGAATTCTGGGGATTTGGGTATCTTCTGGGATCCTGGAGCCAGTCCTCAAAGATACCAAGGGAACACTGTATATCTAAAATAGTATAATTTCAAGATATAATGAGATATTTTACATTCTTTGTATTGCACTAAGTCTTTAAAATTCAGTGTGTATTTTACACTTAAAACACATCTCAAAGACTAGCCATATTGCAAGTGATCATTTGCACTTGGCATTGTGGCTACTGCATTGGGAAGCATCGCTCCAGAAGATCTACATGTCTCAAAAGGACATTAGAAATTCACAGCCCCCCAGAGTCATAAACCTCTTCATCCAAGTGTCTTACTTTCATCTTCCAAGCTTCCTTTTATACACACCCTTTTTGGTAGAAACGAAGGCTAATGTTATAAGCAGGTACATTATAATCCTGGTGGCTGGGTGGTTTCATTTGAGGAGTGCTGAAACCACAAAAATATATTACTGTTGTCATTTTTATGTTACAGTTCTTCATTCAGTACTTCTGATGTGTCAGTCCTCGTCCTCCATCATGCATAGTCCTCGCAACCACTCTCCGATGCAGACTCATACTTGTTCTAGAAAGGAGGAAACCTATTCAACCCAGAGAGGTGAACTCACTTGCCCAAGGTCACACAGTTCATCCATGACCCCATTAGGAACTGAACTCCAATCTGTTTATTTCATTGCCCAGGCTTGTTTTCACTACATCAGGTTGTTCCAACACAGTGCAAAACTAATGTTCTACCACTAGAAAGAGAGTCTCCCATCTGTAAACAAATATGAAGGGCCAGCTATGTGACAACCATTGTTTTAGGCACTTAAGATACATCAGTGAACAAAACAGACAACTGCCACTCTCATGGAACTCCCACTCACCTAGGGGGAAGATAGGCAAGAAACAATAAATGTAATGAATGAGTAAACAGTGTGGTAAGTTACACCAGGGGTGTAACAGGCCATTTTTCTTTCTTTCCATCCCATAAGGAGCTGGCAGCAAACAATTTTGCCCTCTGGGGGACACTTGGTAATGCCTGGAGGCATCTAGTGAGTAGAGGCCAGGGTTGCTGCTATACATCCCACAATGCATAAGGCAGCCCCACCCCCACCCCACCAGAACAAGTGACCCAGCATCAAATGTGGGTAATGCTGAAGTAAGAACCCCTGGGCTGTAGGAGCATGAACAAGTGAGGCAGAACTGCAGGGGTCGGGAGTAGGAGGGAGGCAGGGGTTTGAGCATCTGAGTCAGAGTAGGCACCCTCTTTCAGACCCCAAAAAGGCAATGGAATTCATCTGGGGTTTCTGTTTGCCTTTCTCACCCCTCCCCACTGGTACCAGGGTGCCTCTAAATCAAAGCAAAACTTGGAGTATCCTTTCTCACAGTGCTTAGAAAGTTGGTTACTTTCTTAAACCAGTCCTGGCTTTCTTCTTTCATGAGAAAAAAGTATCCCCTCTTCCCCTTGGGAATTTCTTTTTACAGTTCAAAAAGAGATAAAAGCAAGAACTAAAACTGCATTTAGCAGTTTGAGTCTTCCAGGGAGCAAATCCCAAATGTCCAGCCCAGACACAAAGCCCCCCTCCACCTTCACCCTGGTGCCTCCCAGCCCAGCAGGCGCCTGGGGCTTCACCGCTATTGGAATCATGACACCCCTACTGGGTCTGGGGTGAGAACCCAAGAGATGGGCCTTGTGGCAAAATGTTAGCCTGTCCAGGGCTCTGAGAAGGGGGTCTCCAGGGGCCACCAGCATGCTGTCCACCTGGGGTGGCCATTCAGCCTCCGAGGGCTTCCCACCCCACAACTAACTGTCTTTTTATGTGTTTTAATAATTTATCTGGCCCATTTCTTGGGCTGTATACTTACAGTGACACATCTTTTTCTTTGAAGATTTCCCATCCTTTGGGGGAGGAGAATGGGAAAGGAAGGCAAGGAAGAGATAAGAGAGAGAGATTATAACAGAAACGGGTTTCATGGGGCTTGAGATTTAACAAGGCTGGTTTAGGTGAAATCTGTCAGACATAGGGCTGGGAGATTTAAAAAAAAAAACAAAAAACAAAAAACAAAAAACCTACATCACCCAGGTTAGCTGCCCCAATGCTTGTCCCCCAAGTTAAGCCATCTGATCTGGCCCCCTTCGTATGCCACTTCCTAAAGGAAGCCCTCCTTGACCTTCCAACCTGATGGGCTCTTCTCTGCTCTGATTAGCCAAGGTTTCCCTGCCCCCTTCCATCTCCAATTATTTTTTATGGATGAGGCTAAGTTTCACTCCTGGAGCCAGGGCTCTTTGAGGCCAGGGTTCTTGCCTGACTTGCATCTCTGAATGCAATGCTGAACACAGCACTGCCTATAGCAGGTGCCATCACACCTGCTGTGGAAGGAGAGAAATTCACTCTGCCCAGCCTTAGCCAGGAGCATGTTGTGCTCAGTAAGGAGGGAGTACTGCCAAGAATATGATCTGGGATATATGAAGGAGAAAATCAGTTCCCAAGTCTCCACTGGTTCCTCCTGGATCCCTGGAGTTGCTTTATTTTATCGTTCCCTGGTGAGTTTTGGCATTGCTAAAGGGCCTGGAAGCCTAGTTTGGGTGAGGAGGGGAAAGTTAGACTACTCTGCATGAGAAAATATCAGGCATTTTGGAGGGAAGGGAAGAGAAAGGTCTCAAAAGAAACAGCATGAGAAGAGAGTGATAATGGGGCCTAAGAAGGCACAGCCAGCAAGGTGGGGAGTGGCCAATTCACTTTTGGGACAGTGAGCTCTAACATGTGATTGGCAGTGTTCTCTTCTTCCTTTGTTACTCCAAGCCCTCAGCAAAATCCTAGCCACTTCCCTGGGTTAGTGGCACAGGACAAAATGAAGGAATCAGAAAGATGACCCCCACAGGTAATTAATGGGGCCAAGGGCAATCTTCAGAGTGGAGATATCCTGCAGGAGAAAAGATGGGAGCCAGAGGCAGCCAGGAGGCATTAGGCCTTGGATATGAGATGGAGGAGGCTGGGCTTCCCCAGGAACTAGGGCTGGGGTCTCCAAGCCACTCTGTTTGGGTACTAAAGGCAGAGGGAACAGCACGTGCAAAGGCCCTGAAGTGGGGACTGCTATGGACATTTTGGAAACAGCAAAGAGGCCCGTGGTTCTGGAGCAGAGAGAGCATGGTTTGGGAGTAGAGGGGAGAAGATGAGGTTG